TGAGCGTGCCGTTCTGGATGAGGCCGAGGAACTCGGTGTCATACGCCTTGTACCACGCGTCGCGCAGCTTGGGGTCGCGGATGTTGGCGATGTCCTTGTAGTGCTTGGGCACGATGTTGTCCGGCATGGGCATGATCTGGCCGTCCACGCTCGACATGTACGCGACGCACTGGTCCGTGGTGTTGCGGTAGACCGACGACGATGGGGATGCGGCCGCCGCAGCCGCCCAGATGCCGAAGGGCGTGGCATTGGCGGCGAGGCGGGCGTTGAGCATGTTGTTGTACTCGCCCGTCGAGACGCCGCCGCGGCTGCGGGTGGTGCGCGGCGCAGGCGCACCCGCTGCGGGCGGGTTGACGTTGCCGTCGTTGGCCGGGTCTGGCATGATCACCACCTCCTCGTCGAGGGTCAGCCCCCCGGCGTGGTTGTCGGTGGTGGGGAGGAAGACGGAGTCGCCGCGGGTCACGTTGTTGTCGAGCGTAGCCTTGTCCGACTCGTCGGGCGTCTCGTCCGCGGTCACAGGCTCCGGCCACGCGCCCTCGATGTCCGTCGGGGTGAGGTCGGAGGTAGGAGCACGGTATTCGATGCCGTTCCAGAGCTCGTTGACGCAGAATGTCGCCTGCGTGGTGGTGCCGATGTGCCCCTTGCGCGGACCCTCGGTGATGACGTACTTCCAGCCGGGCGAAGTGCGCGAGATGCCGAGGAAGGCCGCCATCTCGCCCGTGGGTGAGACACCGTTCGCCACAAGGTGGGGGGGCGACTTGACGATCATCTTGCACGCCCACGGGTAGAACATGTTCATCTTGGGGCGCTGCCCGGTCTTGAGCTCGTACGCTGACTTGCCGGTGTCGCGCACGGCGAAGGTGGCGTTGGCGATGGTGGCCGCGTACACCCAGGCGTAGCCCCAGTACTGGTAGAGCTGGGCGGCGCCATGCCCCCCTGCGCGCGCCATCATCTCCCGCACGATCCTGCCGCAGGTAGCGTTCGCACGCTCGCACGCCCCATTCTGCCACGGCTCGTAGGGGCAGCTGTTGCGGAGGGTGATGCCGTACTTGAGGCAGAGCTCGCGCACGGCGCTGGAGTTGAGGACGACCTCGTTGTCGCAGAACGCAACTCCTCCGCGGAACGTGTGGCCGTCCTTTCCCTCGTTCTCGGCGAAGTACTTGCGCAGGTAGGCAGGCGTCTGGCCCTTGGTCTGCAGGATGTACGGCGTGATGGTGCTGGTGTGCTCGTCGACGACCATGAGTGCGTAGCAGTGCCCATCGACGCCTACCACACCCTTGGGCGACCAGAGGTCGTAGTGCGACGAGCCCCCGAAGCGAGTGGCCAGTGGCCGGCCGGTGCTGCGCCGCGCGTGGTACTTGGCGTTCGCCTGCAGCGCGGCGTCGTCGAGGCCCTCGTTGCGGTCCATCTTGGAGAGGTCTGGCACGCCGTCCGCGATCTTGCTGAGGTCCTTTAGCGCGTCGCCGGAGATGCACAGGGCGTGCCGCCAGAAGGTGCCATCCGTCGGGCGCCGCCCCGGCTTGCCGCGCACGATGGCCTTGGCGGCGTTGGCGCCGACGGATGCGCCGAGCGGCATCAGGTGGATGTTGAAGTCCTCCCCGAAGTAGATGGTCTGCCCGGAGGGGTAGTTGAAGCGTGGTGGGCAGAGGTCGAAGCGGACCACGATGTTCTGCGCCTTGCACTCCTTGACGCTGACGAGAGGCATGGCGAGTCCGGGCGCGTACAGCGCGTTCACCCACTCGGTGTTCACAACCTTGGTGTCCTGCGGCTTGGTCGGGTCAGCCAGCGCGAAGGCGTACGCGGTGCCGACGCCCTTCGCCTTGAGGTAGTCGTTGTTTGCGCAGCGGATGTAGATGGGCTTCTCGGGCTCGCGCCACCCGTGAGGGAAGTAGTCGGGCGTCGGGAACATGTTCATGCCCGCCTTGGAGTCGACGCCAGCGGCATACGATCCCGGCATGTTCACACCGGCGGTCGTGTCGTACGCGTCGACGACCTTGACATGCCCGACAAGCGCGTGTGCCTGCATCGCGTCCATGCGCGCCACGTACATGGCGAGCATGATGCACGTGTACGAGAGGACGAGCGGGACCGTCTTGGGCACGTCGATGTCATTCACTGCGCGGAACATGTCGCCCGCGACCTTGCGGTAGATCGGCTGGAGCGGGTCCTCCTCGATGGCGTACTCTGCTCCGCCACCTGAGCCAGTCGCCGGCCCGGTGGACAGCTCGAGGGGTAGTGCGGTGACGGACTCGACCATCACGCCCATGTTCGAGGGCTCGTCCACGGCGTCGGCCACAGGCGTGCCGATCGAGGCAGGCGAGCCCATGTAGACCGGGATGAGGCACGCGAGCAGGACGAGTAGGATGGAAGCGCCGATGTACGGGCGAGGCAGCGCGGTGACGAACGAGGTGAACTTGACCCACAGCCCGCCGCGCGCCCGTGCCTCCGCCGCATTGCGCGCCGCCGTCTTGGCCTTGAGGATGGCGGGCGTGTCGGTGGGGTTGGAGTCGGGGAAGGTGTCCTCGACCTGGTCGGTGCCGACGCCAGCGACAAAGCCGCCGACGATGCCGTCCGGGTCGAACGTGCGGGTGACAGAGTCGGCCAGCGCCGCCCGCACCTCCTCGTGGTCGGTCGCGGTGGAGTCCGACTTCTTGAAGGGGTCGTGCGGGAGGGTGCGGCCGGGGGACTTGGCGCACACCTTCTTGTACGAGGACTGGGCCATGCGCACCTTCGTCTCGTGGTCGATGCGGTCGGGGAGTTCCTCGAGCACCTTGGCGACAGGGACCCCCTTGCAGATGAGGTCGCCGATGCACTTGCCACCGTGCAACCCATTGCAGTGGGGGCACGGCTTGCGCCCAGCGGCTGCGCGGCCGCCGCGGTCCCCGCCGCCCTTGTCGGACTTGATCTGCGCCTGGAGAGCGGCGACCTGGGACTCGGCGGCCGCGAGCTTCTCCTTGAGCACGCCTTGCGAGGCAATCTCCGCCTCGAACGCCGCCTGCGCAGCCGCCTTGGCCTCGTTGGCGCGGTCCGCGTTGTCTTGGTCGAGGATGCCCTGCATCGCGAGCGTGGACGCCTTGAGGCCGTACGTCTTGCCCGATTGCGCGGCGAGTTGGCGCTGTATGCCGATCTGCACGCGCATGTTTGCGCCGAGCGTGGCCCCCTTGGCGGCGATCGCGTCGAGGATGTATTCCTCGATCACCTCGTCGGGGAGGTGCCACTGGGAGTCCTTGAGCAACTTGTTCGCCTGCTCGATGCCCGTCTTGAACTTGGCGAGGCTCGCGGACGTGAGGTCCTTGAGAGCGTCGGGGGAGTACGCCTTCTCGAGATCCGCGCGCAGCGCCTTCGTGCGCACGTTCTTGGAGTTCGTGTCCTCCGACTCGATGAGCGACTTGATCGCCGCGATGCCCTTCTTGATGTCGTCGTAGTGGTCGGCGTCCTCGTCCGCCAACATCTCGGCGAGCGTGTCGTCGTCCTTGACGGCGTTCTGCAGCGCACCGTAGAGTTGGCGCGACAGAGTCACCGACAGGTCCTTGAAGAACTTGTCGATCATGGCCGGGATGAGGCCGTCCGCAGTGCCGATGTTCTTGTAGCGCACGTGCAGCGCGACCGCCTCGGCCTCGCGCTCCGCGCCCGGCCGGATGGTGCCCACCTCGATGATGTCGAGGAGGTACTTGTGTTGCTTCGCCGCGGTCCGCAGGTTGCGGAACCACTCGTTGAACTCCCGCTCGGAGCTCTGTTTGTAGGCCGGAATCACCAGCTTGTCCGTCGACGACATGTTGTCGTAATGTCCCGGGGATCGTTGCCCCGCCGCTACCAACTGTGAAGGTCTTCAGTGACCACTCACAAGCTGTTCCAAGGCCCGACAGAAATGTACTGTCAAAACTTTGTTCAAACAAAAGTCCTGGCCCGCGGCCCCCACACCCACAATGACTATCAATCCAGGCTGCGGGTGAAGGGCAAAACCGCGCCGCTGCAGAACGGTTTTTGCAAAACCGCGCCGCAGCGGTACGAAACTGCGCAGATGCAGTCCAGGGGTGGTAAGGACACTATGTGTGTGTGTGTGGCCGTAGACTAGACGGCTGCGCGGTCGTCGGTCTTCAACACCTTCAAGATCGGCACCGCGATCGTCTCGTACTTCTCCAAGAAGCAGGGTCACATCTCCCTCTCGACATTCGAGGCCGAGATCTCTGCCGGCACGCTGGCGGCTTGCGAGGCGGTCCACCTGCGCTCGCTCCTCGCGTCGCTCGGCTACAAGCCCAAGGGCCCGACCATCATCAAGATCGACAACACGGCCGCGCTGCGCGTGGGGCCTGGCTCCCCCTGACCGGTGAAATACATAAATAAATAAAACGGACACCTCTGCTAGGAGATGGGTAAAAAGGAACAGGTCCCCGCCCGACCTGCGACTAGGGGGCCCACAGCGCCCCAAAATCCACCAGTGTGGGATTTCGCGCAATCGCTTGACTCTGAAAAGCTCGCTATGTACCTTTCTGAGCGCTGTGGTCGCCGCAGACTGGCTCCAACTTGACGGCGGCATGGAGGCATCATGCCTCCATGCCGCCGTCAAGTCGAAATCGACATACAGCTCGATGGTTTGCCCGAAAGGTACATAGGGATTCCCTAGCGGCGTTTTGGGCGACAACAGCGCTGCGACCGCGAAGTGGCGGTGGACATGCTCCCATGTTGCCGACGCGGCGCCGGAGTGGCCGGCGCTGCTCGCCGCGACCACGACGGCTACTCCGCTGCTCCGGGCCGACCCGTCCTACCCGACGGTGGCACTCTTCCACGTCTCGCTCACGCTGAGAAAAATTCTGAAACGGCGTGCAGCATAGTCGCCGACGAGTCGGTCCGCGTGCCTCCCCGTGTCGCGCTTCGTTCTCACCCATCCATAAACTCACTTTGGCCTCACTAAAGCGATGCCTCAATCCTGAATCCTCAGATTTTAGATTAGGACGCTGTGGGCCCTCTACTGCGACCACTCAGCCGTTTCTCGGTTTTTGGCATTTGGGTATATTAATTGCACCACCCCTCCTCTTCTCAGAGGAGACACACACACACGGGCAACCTCTGTACAAAGAAACGTCAGCATTCTCCTCCCCATCGGCCACGAGAGAGCAGCTCCCCTGGGGCGCGGCGTGCGCCGTTGAAGCGCCAGAGCGGGGCCGCGCGATCCAGATCTCTCCCGTCACCCATTGCTCCAGCGCGCCCGCGGGGTCAGGAGGAGGAGGGGCGGAAGGAGGCGGCCGTGCCCGGCACCGTCTCGACTCGCTCCACGATGTCGAGCAGCTGCTCCCACTCTCGCTGCTGCGCCTACCCGCGGCGAGCAGGGCGGCGGCTGTGGGGCGGAGCCGAGGCGAGAGGAGGGGGCGTGTGGCGGTGTGGCCTGCTCGAACTCGAGCTGCTCGAGGACGTGCTCTCGCAGCCCTCGCGAAAAGTCGGCGTTGGTCTGCCGGTGGAAGCGGTCAACCTCGGTGTGGATCGAGGTCGAGATCGCCTGCGGGGGCGAGGAGAGGTGGCGTCAGGAGGCCAGTGGCGGGGCGGGACCAGGCGGCGACGGGCCAGGGCGTGGCTGCGGAGTCGGTGGTGTGTGGTCTCCGTGGTGCCGGCGGCGTCGGGGAGGGGCGTCTCGGTCTTGTAGAGGCGGCGATGGAGGCGCGCGCCTCCCACCGCTCCTTGGCCGCGCTGAGCTCCGCGTCCGCCTCCTTGACGCGCACCTCCACCTGCGGCGGCGGGCGGGGCGTCGAAGCGGCTCGCCGCGGCGGGAGCGGAGCGGCAGCAAGCGCCTTCGACCCCTTCTGCGGGTCGTACATGAGCTCGTCGAGCTTCCCCAGCACCCCCGAGCGCGGCGAGGGCGCGCCGCTGTGCTCCGCCTCCTGCCAGCGCTGCCGCTCCTTGGTGGACGCGTCGAGCGCCGCCGCCGCCTTTTGGTACTGCAGCAGCGCCGCGTCGCGGTTGGCGAGCACCTGGCGTTGGGCGCTGCCGCGTCGGTGGGGTCGGACGGCGAGGGGCGGGACTGGGGCAGGGGCGGCGCGCCTCGTTGAGCGCCGTCGCCATCCCCGTGTTGAAGGCGAGGAGCGCAGAGAGGCCGCAGACGTGCTCCGCCTGCAGAGCGTGCAGAGAAAGGGGAGGGGGGGAGGGGGGGGGGGGGCGTTCGTGTCGGTTCGGCAGAGGAGATGCGCGGCGGCCGCTCGACCGCCCCCTACCGGCGCCCGCGCCCCCGGCCCTCGCCCCTGCGCGCCTGCACTCTCGCCAGGTGCAGCTCCTTGACTCGATCGAGCGCCGCCGCCTGCAGACGGGCGGGAGCAGTTCTCTGGCGGCGCCGTCCGCCACGCACCGCCCCGCGGAGGGGGCGTGCCATGTGCGTCAGAGGCAGTGACAGCTCCGTCTCGGACTGAGAGAGCATGTCGAGGGCGGGCGCGAGCTGCCGCAGGTCGGAGGCCATGTCGGCCTGCGTGCGCACTGCTGCGTGCTGCTTTGACGCGCTCGCAGAGGCAATCGTCGCGTAGTTGGCGGCGAAGGCGCGGACGCGCTCGATCGCCTCCTCGTCAGGCACCTTGTGCGCCATCAGCGACTGCACACTCTTGAGGCTCTCCTGGACACGCGGGCCAGGGTGCGACGGTCAAGCCCGGCGAGAGGGCGGCGAGAGGGCTTGCGGCCGGGCTCGCTCTCCTGGGTGCCGTCGAAGAGCGCGCCGAGCCACGAGGAGCCCGTCGCATTCTTGACGGTCTGCAGCTCCCACACCTTGGCCTCCAGGAAGGTCTGCAGGTCGGAGGACTCCCGCAGCCGCTCGTGCCCCGCCACGCGCCTCAGGAACAGCTGCAGCCCGGCCTGCCTCCGCTCGATGAAGTTTGGCGAGAAGCGGTCGTCCTTGAGCGGCGAGTCCACGGTGGGGAGCGGCGGCACGACGCAGCCAGGGAAGGCGTGGCACAGCCGGTCGCGCAGCCACACGAAGTCGCGATAGCGCCGCCGGACGAAGAACTCTTTCGCCGCGTACCGCGAGAGCTGCGTCACTGTGGAGAGCTTGTAGTCGACGAACGCGGCGGTGATTGAGGTTCCGTGCTTCTCCGGGTCGGAGACCGTGATTAGCAGCGCCGCCTCGGAGGAGGGCTGCCCGTCCGCGCTCATGTCCCAGCTTACTGGGCTGGGTTTTTAGGCATTGTGGGGTTGGCACTCCCGTACCCTCATGACCTCCTGCGGTCTCTGAGATGGACACCAGTGGGTGTGGGACCATAGCCAGGGTACACTCGAAGCATAGCCAGGGTACACTCGAAGGCTGGGTAAGCAGTAGAGGTCGATACTCGACGCGTCCCACATGGTCTGTGTCGCTGTCGGCACGCTGTCGACAGGACGTCGAGCGACACCGGTGGCAGTGCCACCCAGGAGTGGTCGGGCGGTCTCCCGTCATGAGAGAGCCACCATGCGATCCGTATGATGATTCCTGACAACCGCCTCAGTCAACTTTCGTCACAGTTCCCGCTCTGAGCTGTCACTGAGAGGAGCTGCGGGTCAGTTCGACAGCTGGAGCTGTGTCGCCGGCGTGCGGCGGCCTGCCTCCGGAGGTGCCTCTGAGGTGGACATTTTTTGGTCACCGCGAGAGAACGCGTTCGAATTTTCACTCCGGAACTTCAACTCCGCACGCGCACCGGCCAGGGCTACAATAGTGCCAGTGAGGCGGAGGCGCGAGTCGGAAGGCCGCGACCGTCAAGTGTTCCCCCAATTTTCCTACAATCGCTGTGAACCCAGCCACGTTTGGCACAACTGGGTTCGAAGACGCACAGACCACGTTCACACAAAAACACAACCCCGGACCGAGGACGCACGTTCACATAAAAACTCTCCACGTTCACGAACTAGCAGTGAAGATGTGAGTCGAAGTATGGGATATCGACCGCCGCCTTTCTTTTTACTGCCATAAGCATAAAAAGAAACCAAAAGAAAAATAAATCTGCATTTTGAAAAAAAAACACCGCCGGGATTCAGAAAATAAAAGAAAAACAGCCTAACCCCAGTAGGGACAACGCCAAACTGACAGGAAAGAAAGAACACCGCGTGGATTCAGAAAATAAAAGAAAAACAGCCTAACCCCAGTAGGTATAACGCCGAGTGCCAGACCACCAGGGGGCAAGTGTGTGTAGCACCTTCGACCCCGAAATGAAGGCCGCCACGCAAAACCGGGCGCTAGGAGAGGTGAACTGAAGGCTGAGACAACGGAGGCCGAGCCTGAGTGGGCGCCCGCGCGCCCCCACGCAGGCAAGCCTCTGTCCTTCGGCCCACTCCGGCAATCGTCCGTGGGCGGCCGCAGACAACGTGCCTAATCAATTCCCCCAACACCCGACCCCACTCTAGGGACAGCAGCGCGCTTCTCATCCCGGAAAGGAAAGGAGGGGGGGGGGGGGGGGGAGATCAGAGAGCCAAGCACGGGAGTACCCCCGATGGACGCGAGTAGGGGGGAAAGCGAGACGAGAGAGATTCAAGGCGAACTTCATCACCCGTCCAGGAGCCCCGCATTAGGTAGCTACCCCAGGTTCAGAGCTAGGCTTCCCGACAGGGCAGGGAACCCCCAGCGCGCAGGCGGGGCCCACGGTAGCCTCGTGCAGTACGCGATACCGAGAGCTGGGGGGTGAGGGGCGCCCACGCCAAGGGGGACAAGCGACGGGGGGGGGAGAGTAGTGTCTTTCGCAGGTAAAACGCAATTTTTTTTTTTAGCGTTAGAGCCGAGCTACTAGAGAGAGCATGCTATAAAAAGAATGCGACACGCAACAGACAGAAGGGACCGCGAGGGTTCGTGTGCAGCAACACATTATAATATATTATAGCACGACCGCCGCGTGCGAACGGACGGCCCGGGGGTAGGTGGGAGTGGCCACATTGGAGAGAGAGACCGACGCGCGGCTGCGCCGGCGCAGCGAGACCAGTCGCGGGCCGAGTCGCGGGCGGCGACAGAGGGTCGCCACCTCACCAGAGCTGCTCGCCGTCGCGGTCGTACCCGTTGGAGTGCAGCCCGAAGTAGGAAGGGGTGGCGATGTGCGCGGTGCCGCGCACCCCGAGGCGCGCCGCCGACGACACCATCGCGTCCGACACCACCTCGGCGAGGAACTGTGACATGGTGTCGGAACCCACCTGCAAGAAGAGGGGGGGGGGGGGGCGAGAGAGGCGCACGGGAGGCTCAGGTCTCCCCGGCGGCGCGGGGGGCTGAAGGGAGGGGGGCGCGGCGGACGTTTGCGATGCCGACGCCGCCCGTGATGGCGAGGACCTGCGGGCGGCGGCGGCCGGAGATTGGGCCGAGAGGGTCTTGGCCGCGGCAGGGCGGAGGGGGCGGCGGAGAGGGGGAGGCGTGTGGCGTCGCGCCGTCGGGCCGGCGCCGGAGAGGAAGGCGCCGTGCGCGCCCGCCTCGAGGGCGTCCTTTATGATTGGCTCGAAGGGGAACATGTGCTTGCGGTACTGCTGGTGGAGCCGGTCCTCCATCGCCATCCGCAGAGGGTCGAACTGCGACCTGCCGCGCGCCACAGAGGGAGGGGCGGGGCGGCTCAGGCCACCCACGCCGCCGCCGGGCCGCCGCCGCGCCGCCGCCGCGCCGCCTTGGGGGGTGTCGCCGCTCCCCTCGGAGCGTCTCCCGAGAGCGCGACGCCATCTCGGGAGAGCTTCTTGGGGTTGGGGGGGGGGGGGGGGCGTCCTCACGTCGCGAAGCAGTTGATCAGCATCGAGGCGCGCGCGATGTTGAAGATTGCGTCCTTGCGGTCGATCTTCGCGGGCAGCACGGCGCGCGCCTCGGTGGTCGGCATCTCGTCGTCGGGGATGAAGAGGACGCACTGCAGCCCGTCGGGGATGTGCACCCGCTGCGTGATCCAGTGGCCCTCGGCGTTGAAGGCGATCTGAAGACGCGGCGGCGGCGGCGGGGTCGAGGCGGCGGCGGCGTCGCGGCGTCGCGCCACACGCCCTGGCGTTCACGGGCGGCGGGCTCGGGGCGGCGCGCTCGGGGAGGCGGGCGCGCGCGCCTGGAAGCCGCCGTAGATGGCGGGCGCCACGTTGTCGGCGTGCCCCTCCTCGTTTGCGGCGAGCTGCAGCAGCAGCTTCTTGTTGGCCGGCGTCGTCACGTCCTTGCCGCCCAGCGCCAGCCCGGCCGCGAGCCCCGCCACCAGCGCCGCGGACGACGAGCCCATCCCGCGCGTCGGAGGCACCGCGTTCTGGCACTCGAAGCGCAGCGGAGGCATCTCCTTGCCGAGCGAGTGCAGCACCTTGCGGACGCACTGCACGACGAGGTTGTCCTCGGTCAGCGAGATCCGCCCCTCCCCCTCCCCCTCCACGACCATCTCGAACCGGTCCGACTTTTGCACGATCACGCGGTTCCAGACGTCGAGCGCAAAGCCAAACGAGTCGAAGCCGGGCCCCAGGTTGGCCGTCGTGGCGGGAACGTTGACCACGACGCGGTCGACCTGCGAGCGGGCGGCCGCTGAGGCTGGTGGTTTGCCGAGCGGGCGGGCGGCGGCGGCGAGGCGGCGCGCACCGGGTAGAAGAAGCTCTCCTGCACGTTGGAGATGCGGGAGGAGAAGCCAGTCGTGAGCTTTGAGTAGCTCGAGCTGCTCTCGGACGAAAAGGAGCGGGCCGATCGCGCTCCTCTCCGAGCGACGAGCAGCGGTACGGCGCGCGAGCGAGCGGACGTGGCCATCGCGAGCGGCGCGGCAGTTTTGGCGCTAGAGCGACGAGCAGCGGCCGTGAGTGCGGGCGCGCTCGACGCTGATCAGAAGCGCCGACCAGCCTCCAGCGAGCTCAGAAGGAAAAGAATTTGAACAAGCCAACTCTCTCTCACAGCACACAGGCTCGAAGGAAAAGAATTTTAGAATTTCACCCCTCGCACAACACTGGGCACGGGACTGGCGCGCACTGGCACTAACACAGGTACACCTTTTACCACGATTTTTCGAGACAACGCCTCGCGCAGGTGGGGACCCTGTCCTTTCTCCCACCCCTTGTTTGGTGTGTCCGATTTATTTATTTCTTTATTTAACGCCTGAAGTGGCGCAGAGTCCTCCCATCCCCCCCTTGGGTTATCTGTTTTCTTTCTTTTTTGGCGCAGAGTGAGGCGGCGCACCGAGCGAGCACGTGAGCCCCGTGGCTCCAACCGGGCCCTTCCTTTTTTGAGCAGGTGTGCCGCCGCGCGAGCGACTCTCCGAGATCGCCCGAGATGGCGCGGCGCGGCCCCGAGATCGCCCGAGATTGCGCGAGATCGACCGAGATTGCGCGGCGCGGCCCGAGGCGAGGTGGATGGGTTCCGAGCGAGGGGGCGGAAGTGGCCAGTGCGGTAGATCGGTCGGCCAGTCGGGGCGCGTGAGCCGGACTTGGGGGCCGGACGGCTTTCATTTACATTTACCCTGCGTTCTCGCACATGGAGTGCGAGGTACTCGACTGTTGCCATCCCAAACTGTCACTCCCCTTTCTCCCGGCCGGGGTGGGGCGCGCGCGGGGGGCGGCGGGTGTGCGGATGTCTGCGGGCCCGAGAGCGATATGCCATGTCCGCCTTGCGTTTGTTTCATAACATCGAAGGCTAAGCTCAAAGAATTTTAAAAGGGAACTCCGTCGCACGACACTGGGCACGGGACTGGCGCGCACTGGCACTAACACAGGTACACCACGGGAGCCGCCTAAGAGGAAAAGAATTTTCCACGCCAAGAATTTTAGGCGCGCCTCGGGCGGAGGAAGGTCGCTTAACAAAGAAGCAACCCTGCACAAAGATCGCAAGGCGGGGACCTGTTCCTTTTTACCCACCTCACAGTAGAGAGGTGTCCGTTTTTATTTATTTATTTAGGAAGGTCGCTAGTCGAGAGAGATCGCCAGTGGAACAGGGAGTCCACCGTGCTGCGAACCTGTCGCTGTCCCTGTTGTCAGGAGCAGGAGAACTAGGAGAGCGCAACCAGTAGGAGGCCCGCGCCTGCCCCCGTGCCGCCGGGTGCAACTTTGTCCTATACGAGAGGGGAATCCCTGGGACCCTGTCGTGTGGGTGAACCCTGCCCAGCCCCCCTCCGTGTCGCGATGCGCTCCCCACTCCCGTTCCCCTGTGTCCCTGATCGTCCTTCCAAGATCCTGCTCGTGCAGGTGGGGACCCTGTCCTTCTCCCATCCCTCGTTTGGTTTGTCTGGTTTCTTTCTTTCTTTTGTGGTTAAATTCTTTCTTTTTCGCGCCTCGGGCACGGGAATGGCGCGCACTGGCACTAAAACAGGTACACCACGGGAGCCGCCTAGGGAGCCGCCTAAGCGACTCCTCCGAGGGCGGCGAGGCACTTAGCTCCGTGCACCCGCCCGCCCCCGCCGCAGGCAAGCTTGCTCTGATGCGATGGCCGTGTGAAGAACATGAACGGCTCGTCTTTCGAGGCCACCCGGCCGACGCCACGGCCGCCACGCGGTACCGCCGCCTCGCCGACGAGACGACGCCGAGAGCGGCCGATGCAGAGGGTGCGCAGAGCCACGCGAGTGGCGCGCTGCATGCCAGCCAGGCGGCGGCGCTCGACCGCCTCGGACTACGTTGCTTTGAGGAGTTACGCAGCAGCGAGGAGTTCCCGAGCTGTGTGTGAACCCGCAGCCGCATCGCTAACGAGTAACGTGGGGCTGGTACAGTTTGCCTCCGACACGACCAAGCTCAGCGACCTCACCTTCAGCGCTAGCACCCTCGCGTCTGCCATTGAAGAACCGGCGGTAATGGATGGACCTTCATCTCCAACGGGCTCCTCATGGGAGAGCAGCTGCTCGCTACTGGCCGTTCAAGTGTCACGAAGGTCATGCTACTCCTGACCGATGGAGAGCAGACCTGCAGCCGCAACCCAGGTTGTGTCGCAAACGACGACTCCTGTTACGAGAACTGGGACTTTAACATGGACACCAGCGCGGTATGGGTGGACGCGGGCAGATGAGGACCTACAACATCTCTAAAAGCTCCCATACGTGTTTGTTTCGCTCCTTTCTTTCCTCGGGCTGTTCCATCTCCTCATCTCTTTCCCACCTGGGCGGGGCGGGGGCCGGGGGGGCGGCGGGCGCGGGTGCTGGGTGCGGTGCGGTGCGTGCAATCGTGTGTTTGGCGTCATGTTGTGTGTGCCTTCGCTTGTTTCTATTAACGAGGCGGCGGGCGGCGGGCGAGGCGCCAGGCGGGACGGCTGCTGGCGCAAGTGCGCATGGGGGAGACGGCGGCGCGGGTGGCGAGCGCACGCGCAGATGGGGGGTACGGGAGGGGGGCGGGGTCGATTGCGGCTTTGGGGAGGGTCCGGGGAGGGCGGGGTGGGTCGGGACGGGGTGGGGCTTTGGGGAGGGTCCGGGGTGGGGTGGGGTGGGGCGGGTGTCGGAGGAGGGGAATTCGGACGCCGGCTCTTGTGGCGAGGACGATGGCTTCTAAGGAAGCCGTCGTCTGCGCCTTGTCTGTCGTGTGAATCGTGCGTGTGCGAGAGCCTTTTAACACACACACATACACACCGCCTTTTAACATTGAAGTCTAGCTCAAAAGAAAGAAACAAAGAGCCCCAAGGAGTCGGCACGGCAGTCCACTCGGCGCACGGCGCTCTCCACAGTCGGGTTTTCCCTCAAATTTTCTCGCTTGGCCGCCTTGGCCCGCCGGCAGGATGTTCGCCGTCGGCACCACCGTCGTGGCGCAGGACGCGCAGCAGTCGGACGGCTCCAGCACGTCGGGTCAAGAGGAGGACCGCCGCTGCCTCGCCCACCTCCGCGGCTGCTTTGCCCGGCGCTCCATCGAGCGCGTGCTGCTCGCCTCTCTGCCCGAGATCGAGGAGATGCCCCAACCGCTGATGCCGCTGGGCTGGGAGCAGCGGCTCGACGAGAAGAATGGCCGCATCTACTTTGTCGACCACACCACGTGCCGCACCACCTGGTCGGACCCGCGGCAGGAGCAGGCCATCCGCGCCCAGGCCGCGCTGCGCAGCTCGGCGGGCGACGAGTACGAGGAGGACGCGGACGACCTGGACGCGGAGGAGGCGTTGGCGGCGGCGGAGAGCCTGGCGGCCCTCTGCGTCGGCATCTCGCCAAACGCCGAGGACGGGCTGCAGCAGTGGCTCGACGTTCTCGAGCGGAGCGCCTTCTCGCTGGTCAAGAAGGTGGCGGGCGCGCGCTGGAATGCGGCGGACGCGCTGCAGTACCCGCGCTACATGCTGCTGCAGAAGGTGCACCACGCCGTGGTCCGCCGGCTCCTCGCGCCGCCGGTGGAGCTGCTCGTCGTCGAGCGGGTCTGGGCGCCGCGCAACCGGGCGGTGGCCGCGCAGCCGGGCGGCGCGGGATCGGCGCTCTCCAAGGACGTGGTGGCGGCGCTGGCCAAGCTGAGCGCCGCGGGGCTGACGGGGACGCACAAGTCGCGCATGTCCTTCAGCGCGCCAAAGATGAACCTGCGCAAGGCGCGCAAGCTGCTCGCCGAGCGCGTGCCGCCGCCAGAGCAACGGCTGCCCGCCGCTCCGCCGGGCCTGCCGGACGGCCTTCTGGAGCAGCTCATTGGGCTGCTGATCGAGCCGCCCGGGCTGGTGCAGGGCAAGCCGCCGAGCGAGGAGGTGGCCAGCATGTGGGCCATGGCCGCCGACTCGCTCCTCTCGCTCTGCGTGTTGAGCGGCTCGCTGCTCTCGCTGCTGCAGCTGCCGCGCGCGGTGCTTCGCTTCCCGCCCGGCCGGCTGCCCGCGATGCCGCTCGCCGTGCCGCTCTTCCAGCTGGAGCGGCGCTGCCTCCCGCTCGAGCACGCCGCGCTCTGGCCCGGCTTCGGCACGCTCCTCGCCGAGGCGGGCTGCCGCCGCTGGGCGGAGCCGCCGGGCGAGGCCGAGCTGGTCGCGGTCGAGGAGGCGGCCGCGACCGCGCTCGCCGCCGCCGCGTCGCTCGCGTCGCTCGTCTGGCAGCGCCTCGCCGAGCGCGAGGGCGTCCCGCTCCCGGCCGCGCAGGGCGACTCGCCGCTCGGGCTGTCTGCGGCGGAGGCGGCGGCGCGCAGCCTGGTCGAGCTGGGCGCGAACCGCAGCCTCGCCGGGCCTGGCGCGGGCCTGGGCGCGGACGCGGACGCGGCGGCCAGCCTGACGCCGCAGCAGGCGACCGAGATGTGGCAGCCGCTGGCGGTGGAGCTGCGGCGCGAGACGCTGGTGACGCTGGTGACGCTGCTGATCGCGCAGCTCGACGCGGCCGGCGCCGTCTACGCCAACCCCGTCTCGGGCGAGCTCGAGGCGCGGGCGCGCGACAAGCGGCAGTACGTGGGGATCCTGAGCACGCTGCGGCTGCTCACCGTCCACCTCCTCCTCTTCCACCGCTGCCGGATCGACGCGGCCGAGGTCCTCTCCCCCGCGACCGCGCCGCAGCAGGGCCGCGGCTCATTCGGGGGCGGCGCGGACGCCGAGCTGCGAAAGAGGCTGCTCGACCACCTCTTCGGGCTCGTGCTGGCGCCGGCGGCGGGCGAGCTGGCCGCGCTGCACGAGGCGCTGCAGGCGGAGGCCATCTGCGCGCTGACGGCGGGCCTGCGCGCGCTCTTCCCGAGGCAGAGCGTGCAGCTGGCCCTGCTTCACGCGTGCATCGCCAAGCAGCTCGCGCTGCGCAAGGCGGGGTCCGCGGCGGGCGCGCTCGAGCAGCTCATCGCCGCGCTGTGCATCCACCTCGGCGCCGAGAGCCTCGTCTCGCGGCTGGTCGTGCCCACCGAGAACGCGCCCGCGCCCGAGGTGGTGAGCGCGCTGCTGCCCGGCGCGCTCGACGCGCGGCCGCGCGCCTTCAGCGAGATCCAGGATAGCCTGCGGCGGTGGCTGCTCGCGCAGGTGGTGCGCGAGGCGGAGCAGGCGCTCCAGTCGGACCCGCCCGAGGGCGCCGCGCTCGAGCGGCGGTCGCCCTGCATGCAGCTGCTCGCCTCGCTGGTGCAAGAGCTGCTCGCGCGCGCGTCCCTGTGCGGCCACCACCGCGACGCGCCCAACGTCGCGCTCGTGCGCGTCGCCGAGGACCTGCTGCTCGGCGCCGACGAGATGCTGCGCAAGCGGCTCGCGCCGGCCGCGACCGAGGCCGAGCTCGCGCGGCGGCAGGCGCAGCTGTCGACGACCTTCGTGGGGAGCCTCGTGCCGTGGCTCATCGACTCGCTCGCCCTCTTCAGCGCCTTCGCCTTCGAGTACGCGCAGCGGCTGCTGCCGCTCGTGCTGCCGCTGCTCAACACGCTCAAGGCGGTGCTCGGCGCCGGCGCGCTCCCCTCCTTGGAGGAGGGGGGCGCGAGGCCGTCGCCGGAGCTGGCGCAGCAGACGACGCTGCAGTCGGCGCACCCGTACAAGCCCGACGTCGAGCAGGTGCGCCGAGGCAAGGAGCGGCGCAGCCTGGCGCAGGCGACCATCCACGCCGAGGAGGGCTCGTGGCCGGGCGCGACGCAGCTGCAGCTCCGCTTCGACGCGCAGTGCTGCACGCACGAGGGCGACTGGCTCACGCTCACCTTCTTCAAGGAGGGGCAGCCGGTCGAGGGGCGCACCCTCCGCTTCGGAGGGCCGTGGAGCAACTGGCCGAAGCAGCCCATCACGGTGCCGGCCGACTCGTTCCGCGCGGAGTTCGCCTTCTCGCCGCTCACCGCCACCACCGCGTGGGGCTACGGAGTCGCCGTGACCGCCTCCAAGCGCGACAAGGCGAACCTGCTCGCGATGCCGGTGCTGGCGCAGCTGCGCCTCAGCCTCGCCTACCTGGGGACAAAGTGCGCCAGCCTGCTCGTCGCCGCCGAGCCCGTGGTCGAGGAGGAGAAGGAGAACCGACACTGGCTCAAGTCGCCGCTGTTTGCGCGCGGCTTGCCGCTGCAGCTGCCTCCGACGCACTCGCTGATGCACCCCTTCTTTGGCATCAAGCCGGTGCAGCGCGAGGCGGCGACCAACACGAGCGCGATCCGCTTCCTCGAGGACCTCACCGCGCTCGGTGGCGGCGGCGCGACGGCGCTGCACCGCCACGTCGTCGACGCGACCCGCGAGCCGCAGGCCAAGGCCGAGGAGGAGACGACGCACGCCGCGAATGCCGAGAGGGCGCTGCTCGCCAGCCTGCTCTCGCACAACGGCCTCCTCCACGTCGCCCAGCGCGCCGCGAGGGAGGTGTGCGGGGGCAAGGCGCCGCAGCCGCCGCCGGCGTCGCCGCCCCCGTCGCCGCCCTCCGAGGAGGCGATGCCGCAGGAGGAGCTGGCCGACTTGCGCCGCTTCCTCGACCCGGAGGCGGACGGCGCGGCGGAGCGGCCTGCGTCCGCCTCCCTAGGCCCGCTCGATGCGCCGGGGATGGGGGAGGAGGAGCTCTCCTCGCTCGAGGCCTTCCTCGAGACGCAGCGGAGCGGCGCGTCCGACAGCGCGCGCTCGTCCGCGCGGCAGGACGGAGAGGCGGCCGCCGCCGCCGCCGCCGCCGCCGCCGGGGCGGGCGCGGCGGGCGCAGTCGGCGTCGGCGCCGTGTGGGACGCGGCGCTCCACTCGAAGAAGCTCTCACGCGAGGAGTGGGAGCGGCTGCGCGAGCAGTGGCGCCGCGCGCGCTCCCTCTTCAGCGAGCTGGCCGAGTCGCACGCCCGCACGCTCACCGAGGAGCAAAAGGAGGCGGACAAGGGGGAGGGGCTGGCGCGGCTGATGACCTTCGTCTTGCTCGTCGCCAAGCAGAACGCCTCGCAGGACGAGCGGGCCGCCGCGAGCGACGCGGCGGGCGAGATGCAGGACCTGAGCGGCTCGATGGGCTCCAACGTCCTCAAGCTCTTCTCCAACCTGACGCGGCGCGACGCGGCGCCCGACGCCGCCGCGGGCGCGCAGGGGCGGGCCCTCGAGGAGGAGATCCGCGTCTGGGTGGGCTCGCGCGTGGCGCCGGAGCCCCTGATCCAGTCGATGAAGCGGCAGCAGTGCCGCGCGTACAGGCGCACCTGCCGCCAACCGCCCAGCTGCGCCACGCCACCCGGCCCGCGCCGCTGAGCCGCACGCCCCCCCCCCCCCCACCCCACGCGCAGCCGTGCCGCCGGGTTCCGCGCGGTGTGCGAGCTGCTGCGGGTGGTCGACGACGCGCCGTCGCTGCAGAGCCGGCTCCTCTCCTCCCTCGAGGCCATCCTCCAGCCGTCCCAGGCCACGCGCTCCTCGCACATGAGGATCGCCGACCACTACTCGCGCGATTGCATCTGCGCCGGGCCGCACGCCAACGGCCGCCTCTCCCTCGCCTTCGCCGCGATGCTCGAGCAGCTGGTCCACCTGCTGGGGACGGCGGCCGTCGACCCGGCCGCGCCGAGCGAGCAGCAGCTGCGCTCGCTCAAGTGCCTGCTCCACATCGAGCTCCGCTGCGAGGACCTCCCCGTCCTCGAGGCGGTGCGGCTGCTGCCGCGGCTGCACGAGCTCGTGCAGCGCGTGCACACCGCCATCTGGGGCGAGGCGCCGCACGCGGCGGCGGCGGAGCAGTCGCGCCCGTCGATCCCGCGGGTGCCGTCGCAGGAGTCGGTCGGGAGCAGCCTCCGCGAGCCGGGCCCCGACAGCTTCGGCGCGCCGTCCGAGGGCGGGCTGCGCCACTCGCAGACCGTGCAGCTCCTCTTCCAGGTCTTTGTGAGCCGCCTCTTCGCCATCCAGCCCGCCGCCGCCGCCGCCAAGCACCCCTTTGGGCTGCAGCGAAAGCTGTCGGTGCCCGGCGTCGACCTCAGCAACACGCTCCGCAGCCCGCGCGGCGCGCCCGCCGGCGCCAGCACGCCGAGCCGCTGGCCGAGCTCGCTGGAGTCTGCCATGGTGGAGGCGCTCGCGCTCGACGTGCAGGCGTCGGCCAGCCGGATGGGCGGCGTGGCGAGCGAGGAGACGGCGACGGTCATCGGCGCGCACACGGCCGGCGAGACGTGGGTGGTGAGCGAGCGCTTCCTGCACTCTGCGCTCTCCCTCCTCTTCCAGCTGGTGGCGGTGCCGAGGACGGGGACGGCGGCCGCCTTTGCGGGCCGGGACAAGTGGCTCTCGGCGCTCTTCGACGCGCTGCACGTGGGCTCGCTCCGCTGCGCCCGCCTGGTGCTGCGCATCCTGCAGCACGTCCTGCCAAACACCTCCCCCGCCAAGCTGAGCGCCTCGGTGTACGAGGGGAGCTTCCGCCTCACGGGCGGGGGCGACGGCAGCCCCGACTTTGCCGACTTCCTCCTCATGATCATCGGCGACGCGCTCGCGGGGGAGCTCTCGCACGCCGACCCCGTCCTCACCTTCTCGCGCTCGCTCTGGCGCAACGCGCAGGTGAGCAGCGCCTTGGGCAGCGAGGCGGTCGCGCTCGCGCAGCTGCTCCTCCAGAGCGACGTCTGGAGCAAGAGCATCCAGGCCGCGCTGCACAGGGCGCTGCTCGACGTGCCGGGCGTGGTGGCCGCCCTCGCGGAGGAGGCGCGCGGGAGCAGCTCGCTCTCGGCCGGCGACCCCCTGCTGCCCTCGGCCGTCCGGGCGGTCGGCGCCTTCTGCGTGTCGGGAGGCAACTTGCGCTCGCTCTACATCGGCTGCCACGTGACCGTGATGCCGGAGCAGTCGGCGACGCGGGAGACGGTCGAGCACGGCATCCTCGTCAAGTGGGACGGCGCGGAGGACTCGGAGGTGTCGGTCCTGCTCGACTCGCAGGCGACCGACCTGCGGCTGCTCAAGTGTTCCGTCCTGAGGCTGCTGCCGATGGAGGAGGCGCCGCTGCCGCTGGCGAGCTTCACGCTGTCGCCCGACGTGATGTCGAGCTTCGAGATCTTCCTGCCCAAGCGCAAGTCGGGCGACGAGACGACCACGCAGCCGACGGCGCTGCAGGCCAACTTCCTCTTCGGCCTCCTGCAGACGCGCGCGCTCAAGGCCTTCCGCGGCCTGCTGCAGCACGCGCCGGCGATGCGGCGGGTGCTGCACAGCGGCCTCTTCCCGAGCATCATGGCGTCGGCGACCACGCCGGTGCCGCTCATCGGCGCCCACACCACCGAGGGGCTGCAGGGCCACGTGGCGCTGCTCGAGAACATGCACGTCGAGGCGGCCTCGGCGGCGCGCTTCGCAAAGGGCCACGCCCAGGCCGCGCACGCGCGCAGGACGCTCGCCAAGCAGGTGCGCCTCGAGCGCGCCTCGAGCATGGCGTCGGACGAGGAGAGCGAGCGCTCCGCCAAGGAGCCGAAGACGCCGGGCGGCCCGCTCCGCGCCACCATCTCGCAGCTCGAGGGCATGGGCTTCGAGTACACGCTCTGCCAAAAGGCGATCGGCATGTTCGGCCACGACACGGCCGCCGCCGCCGCGTGGCTCTCCGAGGACCGCACGCGCAAGGAGCAGGCGGGGCAGCTGATCCGCTCTCCGAGCTGGCAGCAGGCGGACGAGCTCGCGCAGCGCACGCAGCTCTTCTCCATCGCCGCGTGCAAAAAGGCGCTCGAGCACACCGCCGCCGCGGCCGCCCACGGCACGCTGGTGCACCTCGACGCCGCCGCCGCGTGGCTTGCGGAGCACGGCGCGGAGGCGGAGGCGGATGTCGAGGCGGAGGAGGCGGCCGCCGACGGGGCCGGCGCGGTGGCCAACCTCGGGCGCCGCCCGACCGAGGGCGTGGGTAGCGACGGGGTGGACACGGGCCGGCAGAGTGGCGCGTCCGCGTCGTCGCCGCGGGGCAGCTGCAACGGGGCCGACGTGTCGCTCTCGCAGCGGAGCAGCGAGGAGGGCGTCTCGCGCACGGTGAGCTTCACGCCGCAGGCGGAGAGCAGCTACCGGCTGCTCTCCCCCTCCACCGGCAGCCAGGAGGTGCTGCACGCGGACGCCGACAGCGGCGAGGGCAACATCGCCGACAGCTGGACGCTGCAGGACGAGTTCCAGAGCGCCACGCCGCCCGAGGCCCGCCCGTACAGCTCCGAGCTTTCCGAGGCGGCGCTCGCGCTGGCGCGCTCGGCGGCGCAGTTCTCCTTCAAGCGCGCGCGCTCGAGGCCGCACGTGCTGCAGCAGGCCCGCCCGCTCGAGCCGGCCGAGTGCCTCGCGGGCCGCCTCCTGCGGCCGGCGCCGCTCTCGGCCAACACCAACTGCGTGCTCGAGGGCGTCGACCGGAGCGCGGACGGCTCGCTGCGCCTCTACACGCGCAACGCCGAGACGGACGTGCTGCAGATCATCCTGCGCCGCATGGTCAGCTGCCAGCGCGCCGAGACGAGCCTCACGGCCTACCTGCCGGAGCTGGAGCACCTCGGCGCAAACTCGAGCGGGCTGAACGCCGTCTCGGGCGCGGCGCACACGATGCTCGCGATCCTGCTCGTGCGGCAGAGCGTGCTCTGCCTCCTCTCCGACATCCAGTGCCTCAAGGAGTCGGACGAGGACGCCACCTCCGCCTTCAGCCTCGAGCAGCTCGGCCGGCCGCGCGAGCTGCTCGACCTGCTCAAGCTCGCGTACCACTCGTCGGGCCACTCGTCGGTCGGCGGCGGCTCCGCCGGCTCGATCGCCTTCTCGCGGCTGTGGGGCATGATCGAGGGCCTGATGCGGGGCGGCCGCGACGCCGCTTTATTGCCCGGCCCTTTCAAGGCGCTGCCGCTGCTGCTGCGCGACGACGCGCTCGGCCACCTTCGCCGCGAGAAGAATGGCATCGCCACGCTGCAGTCGCCGCACCCGCTGGAGGGCACGCGCATGCAGAGCAAGCACCGGCTCTTCGTCGACGGCGCCTCGAGCCTGCTCCTCAAGCTCGACCGCCGCTCCGAGCTCAACGGCACCGCGCACATCCTCTTCAGCACCGACGAGGACGGCACCGAGCTCGTCGGCCGGTGGCCCTCGCCGGGCGTGCCGTGGAAGGACGTGCGCGTGGAGGGCGACACGGTCTGGTGCCACCTCAAGGGGGAGGTGCAGGGCGGCAGCCGGCCGAGGCGGCCGCTGTGGGGCTTCCGCGTGCGCGCGTGCGTCGCGGGCTGGCGCAGCCCCGAGGGCGAGACGCAGGTGCTCGAGACGCCGCTCGCGTTTGCGTGGCAGCTGCTCGAGCTGCTAAGCGAGCACCGGCCGCTCGAGCTGCTCACGCAGCACACGTACATCCGGCTCGTGCAGTACCTGCACGCGCGGTGCGCGCCGCACCTCACCAGCGCCGCCTCGGTGCTCCTCCGGCTGCTCAAGCTGCCGGCGAAGACGCTGTGCGACCTGGAGGGGCCCGACCCGCGGCTGAGCTGGCCGATGCAGCACATCACCGCGCTGGCGCTGCACGTCAACCAGTTCTTCGAGGCGCACCCGGGGCGGGCGATGCGGGTGCCGCTGCAGATCCAGCTCTACGCCGAGCTGGTGGCGCGCGCCGTCTCGCGCGGGCCCGAGGCGGGGCTCAAGCTGCCGCCGAGCGACTGGATGCAGTCCATGAGCGAGCTGAACTCGGCCTGCCGCTTCATGCTGCGCGACGAGGGCGCCGACACCATCTCGGACCTGCCCAACGTGTGGCTGCGCCAGCTCGAGGCGTCGGGGCTGGAGCTGATGCTGCTCAACGAGCCGTGGAGCCTCGCCAAGTACACCACGCTGCTGCGCTTCGCCACGCAAAAGATCGGCGGCCCCAAGGGCGAGCTCATCGACCTCTCGCCAAAGAGCCTGCCCGCCCCGACGGAGGACGACGGGCCGGTGATGGCGCAGTGCGACCAGGCGACGGTGCAGGTGCGCTTCGCGCTGCTCCAGCTCTTCAACCGCGTGCTCCTGCCCTGCTTTGGCGTCGCGTGGACGGGCGAGCCGCAGCTGGGGCACACGCTCGGTGCGGAGCTGTGCTCGCTGCGGCAGATCATCTTCACCGAGGTGAAGAACAGCGTGTGGGGCATCACGATGGACGCCACCATCCCCTTCCGCCGCCCGGCCGCCATCGCTGCCAACCCGCCCCCCACGGTGACGCTCAACCGGCGGCGCGCGCTCAAGGAGCGCGCGGACCGGCACGCAAAGACAAAACACTCGGTCTTTGTCCAGCTGCACAACCAGCTGCGCGCGGTGGAGCGCAAGGAGCTGATGCGGCGCGAGCGCGCCTTCAAGGTCAAGTTCGCGGGCGAGGCGGCCGACGACTACGGCGGCCCCTATCGCGAGGTCTTCACCGTCCTCGCCAGCGAGCTCGAGAACGAGGCGGTGCTGCCGCTGCTGCAGCTGAGCCCAAACGGCAAGCACAACCTGGGGTCGAACCGCGACCGCTTCATCCTCAACCCGGGCGCGAGCTCGGCGGAGAGCCTGCAGTACTTCGAGCTCGTCGGCATGATGTTTGCCTTTGCGCTCATGCAGAAGGAGACGGTGCTCACGCTGAGCCTCTGCTCAGTGGTCTGGAAGCAGCTTGTGCAGGAGCCGCTCGACACGCAGGACCTCGCCGGCTTCGACGAGTCGGTGATGAACTCGCTCGAGCAGATCGAGCACATCGACCGCGAGGGCGTCGACGAGGACCTCTTCTCCGACCTAATCTTCGAGGTCTTCACCACCCAGCTCAGCCACGGCGTCGAGGTCCCGATCTGCGAGGGCGGCGCCGACATCGACGTAACGTGGAGCAACCGCAAGCACTACTGCGAGCTGGTGCGCAAGGCGCGGCTGGGGGAGAGCCGGCAGCAGGCGCAGGCGGTGCTCAAGGGCATCAACTCGCTGCTGCCCTCCAACCTGCTGCCGCTCTTCACGCACCGCGAGATCGAGCTCATGGTCTGCGGCGCGCCCGACATCGACCTGAGCATCCTGCGGCAGCACACTCGGTACGGCGTCACGGTCGACCCCGACGACAGCCACATCCGCATCTTCTGGCAGGTGCTGAGCGAGTTCACCGCGCAGCAGCGCACGCTCTTCCTCAGCTTCATCTGGTCGCGCACGCGGCTGCCGGCGACCGAGGAGGACTGGGACGACCAGTGCATGAAGATCCACACGCTCGAGTGCACGAGCCCCGACCTCCACCTGCCCGTCTCGCACACCTGCTTCTTCAGCATGGAGTGGCCGCGCTACTCGAGCGTCGAGATCGCAAAGGAGAAGCTGCTCTACGCGATTGTCAACTGCGTCGACATCGACGCCGACAACACGGCCGAGGGCAGGTCCAACATGGCGATGGGGCGCGACGACGAGCTGTGACGCAGGGGCGTCGGACCTCCCCGCACACCATACACGCAGTGGTCGCTTGGTCCTTTGACACACGCGCTGTGGGCGCGGGACGTCGGTTCAGAGAGATCCGGCACCGCGGGCCCCGGCGGCGGCGGCCGTGCGCAGGGCGCGGTGGGTGGTGCCCGGACGCCGGAGAGAAGACTGAGCAGGTCCAGAGATACACACTACTCGCTCCGGCTCAGGTCGTGGGGCATAGCTCGGGTGTAAACGGGGTCTGGGGAGGAAGCCCCAGCGGCCCGCCGCAGGCGCCGCCGGAGGCTGGCCCGCCGCAGGCGCCGATTTTTTGGCGTTTTTTCTCAAAATTGAGGGATTTCTCATCTAAATTCTCATCCAAAATCGAGCTCGCTACGAGCTCTCTAACTGCACAGCATCTCCTCGTTGAGCCTAGCGGCGCCCGTATCGCCCACGCCCACATTCCTTTTTCTTGCCCTTGGCCCTTGCTGCACTCAGCCGCTCAACCTCCGCCAGTCTCTCCTTGCTCGTTGCTGGCGCTGCCGCCCCCAGTACTGCGATTGCAGCTCCTTGGCATGCCGCGCCGCCTCCATCTGCTGTGCTTCCCACGCTGCCGCTTCCTCTAAAGCAGCGCCGCCACTAAGCGGCGCAACCAAGTTCTCGCACTGTTTGCATGAGCATGTGTCCTGCTGGTGCGGCGCACAATCCGCGCGCGGCGAGTGAGAGTAGAAGACTGACAGCAGGAGCTGCAGGAGCTGCAGGAGCTGCGCAGATCGGATGGGTGGTGACGCCGTCGAGCGACGGCGCAAAGACCAATCACCACCGCTGAGAGCCGCGACACGAGGCTGCTGGCAGCTGCACCTGTGAGAGCCGCGACACGAGGCTGCTGGCAGCTGGCAGAGCGAATCGCGATTCCGGCGGCCGCCGTCAGCCCGCCGACACCGACGGCCTGTCTGAGGTCAAACTCCCACCGCACGTCGGACCAGTCGTGCGTCAGCCATGGCGACGAGACGTCTGTATGCAGACAGCCCGCCACCCGGGCGATAGAACATGCCAGCTGGGCTCTTCCAGGGCTCTCGTGGCCCGTGGCGCGTGCCCAGTGGAATAGGGCGGGCTGCGGCGGGCGCAATAACTATTCACAGCTAATGAAAACTATAAAAACTCGCGGCTTCATCAAAGTTTGAGGTGGCTTCGTCCTCAGCACCATCAAGACAGCTCTATTCACACCCTGTTTGGTTTGAAGCCACTCGGGGATGCCCGTTTACACCCAACCGACGAGTCGCTGGGCCCTCTGACCTGAGCCGGAGCCACTGGGTCTCTCGAGGGGAGAGTCTATCGAGATACGCTCTCGCTACTCTCTTGAACTTGATTGGAGCCCTTCCGTGGATTGAGCATTTCGACGATTTTGTGTGGAGTATATTGAAGGCTCTCTGTCTCTCGCCGCCCCAGTGCCGCAGCTCCGAGGCTATACGTGGCTGGGTTCACAGCAGTACTCTAGGAAAACGCAGTGAAACCACCCCGGGGCCAACCGTCTTCGGTTTCGTCGTCCATAGTGCACTATAACCCACGAAACCCGAATAAAAAAACGTGTATCCCCCTTCGAGTGTATCTCTTGTTGCTATGGAGCGTCCGGTTCAACACGCGCTTGCGCGCTCGCGTCTGCTGGCGCCCAGAGAACATGTTGCACCACGTGCTCCCGGCGGAGCCCAACTGCTTGCACTCGACAAGGCAGTCCATCCACTCGCGGCAGCTGAAGTCGAACTTCCACTCAATGCGGCTCGCGCCGGGTTGTGAGCTCGGCGAGCGAGGTAGGAGAGCGACCTCCAGTTGGCCCAAGCCGCACGCCACTGAGGCAGAGCGGCCGTGCGCGTACGACGCCGTACGCGCACGGCCACTCTGCACCGACCGCAGCGCTGCGTTGCGACCGCAGTGGCTCAGCTCAGCCAGGGCTCGCTCGAGCTCGGAGCCGCCGTCGGTCATGGGCAGCAACAAAGGTTTGACGCGTCGCTCGGTGCAGGAGGGCACTGCAGTGGAGGTGCAGCGGCCGTCCGGCGCGTGCCCGATGGGCTGCAGCTTCATTGGCAGCTACCAGAGCGCGTGCAGAGTTGAAGTTCCGGAAAATTTCGAACGCGTTCTCTCGCGGTGACCAAAAAATGTCCACCTCAGAGGCACCTCCGGAGGCAGGCCGCCGCACGCCGGCGACACAGCTCCAGCTGTCGAACTGACCCGCAGCTCCTCTCAGAGCGGGAACTGTGACGAAAGTTGATTGAGGCCTGGCAAGGTACTCCCACGCCTCTCGGGGTTTTTGTCTGGCCGAGTCAACTGGCCGGGGTTTTTGTCTGGCCGGGGTTTTTGTCTGCTGGGGCGAGCCTCGGCGAGACTGCGTCAGCTGTTCCCACAGCAGGCTGGAAGTACCTCGCCAGATTGAGGCGGTTGTCAGGAATCATCATACGGATCACATGGTGGCTCTCTCATGACGGGAGACCGCCCGACCACTCCTGGGTGGCACTGCCACCGGTGTCGCTCGACGTCCTGTCGACAGCGTGCCGACAGCGACACAGACCATGTGGGACGCGTCGAGTATCGACCTCTACTGCTTACCCAGCCTTCGAGTGTACCCTGGCTATGGTCCCACACCCACTGGTGTCCATCTCAGAGACCGCAGGAGGTCATGAGGGTCGATGGGAGTGCCAACGCCCCACAATGCCAGAATGCCTAAACCCAGCGCAGTAAGCTCTCAGTCTCACGGCCTCGCTCTCCGCTCGCACTTGCAACCCGCCGCCTCCTCGCAGGGCCCTCACTCACACGTCGAGTGGACGTCAGTGTGTCACAAAGTGTGTGACATACAGCTTAACAGTGAGGTGCCAGAGCTCAGCGTGACCGCGAGACGCGGGACCCAGTGTGCAGTGAGTGCACACGGGACACAGGGACACGGTCACGGAGCGCGCGAGCGTGGAGCGAGAGAGTGCAGAGTCCAAGCGTGCAACGAGACCAGAGTCTGCAAAGTGCCTCTCCACACTATGTCAAAACTACAGGGGTAGGCAATGAAACGGAGCTTTGCGCCCTTTCCCGCCCGCCGGGGGGCCACCCAGGCCGGCCACCTGATCGGTAGTGGTGGACGGGAGGCGCGAACAGCGCCATCTTGGGGTCTTCACGCCGACCAGTGCTCCCGTCAGTGACCAGGAAGAGGGGCTGCGTGGCCTTCTCAGCCGCCGGCCGCGCGTCCGTGTGGTCTACAGTTAACGAACCACGAGCCCTGCTTCCGTTTTAACACAAATTGGGTGGCGAACTCGGCGCCCATAGCTCTGGCTCGAGTTTTAGCGATTATGTCACGAAACGCATAAGCCGCTACATCGAAATGGCCGAGGTAGCCGAAATCGCAGCTTCCGCTGTAGCGGCTAATGCGTTCTCCGAGGTCATGTTCGTGGGCGGAAAACGAACCGGCACCCCGGCGGGGCACCTTACGGGCTGTGTTAAAACGAGAGGCCAGAGCCTGTTCACGCGATGGCCAGCCGTGGTGTGAGCCCGAAGGGTCGGCGAGAGCGGCAGGCCAGCAGAGCCCTTGCTCAATATTGGCTCTGACGCCGTGCCAGTTGTCGGCGCGCCGCGATCTGCATACCTGTTCGTGCCTCTACAGTAGTGCGGCCACGTGTATTGCTGTTCGGCGATCCGCGTTCTGCTCTCTCGCCCGTGAGACTGATTGGCGGGCGCCCGAAGCACCTGGCTTGCGCGTCGAGCGGTGAGCTCTCTACAGACACCGTCCGAGCCCGATGCACGCCAGGCGTCTCATTCCAAGCCCACTAAGCATTTCCACGCGCTCAGGCGCCGCTCGGACCCCATCCTCGAGCCGGTTACCTCGCGGCAACACAACTCGGCGCTCTCGATGTGAGCGCTAGGCAGTCTCGACGCCGATTGCTGCCGAGCATGCACGACTCGTAGGCGTACCGGCGTGCCGCTGGCGTACTACGCGACGGTGGAGGCGCGTGGAATTGCTCAAAAGGCATGCATCTGTCGGAGAGCGTGCCGCAAGACCTGATGTGCCTCCGCTCCAGGTGTGTGGCAGTTCGATGGATCCAGCCCAGCGACCTCTACGTGACGATTGAGGACTGCTCTTTCCCTTCGGCCGAGCCTCCAGTCCCTGCCACCGTGCACTGGCGCCAGCGAGCTGCACTCATATCCCGCACGCGCGATCGGCAGTCGAGTTATAACCCGCAGCTGTGCAGTGCGTGCGCACCACGAACCGTTGTTCGGCGATCTCTCGGCGACCACTTGTCGACTCGCGCTCGGACGCGAGGTACGTGCTCGCCCGGTCCCCCGGGAGAGGACCAGGCCATTTTTAGCGAGACATTTGGAATCATCCTCATCGCCCACCACTCACCCCTCCCTCCCTCTCCCGCTGCCGCCGTATCCGGTCCTAGCCTGCGATACATTGAGACCTCACTTCCCGCGACTGTCTCCCACGCTCGCAGGCGGGCCTATCCGCCGTGCCACTCCATGCATGATCATCGCTGGGGGCAGCGGTGCTCGTGCGACTGCGGATTCGGCCTCACCTCACGCCCTCTGGCCTGCAGCTGCACGTTGCCGGGCGCCATGCCTCCGTCGAATGGAGGACCGACTCCAGGCTCTGAGCACGTCTAATCCTTACGATCCATGTGCCCTGCGCATGGGAGGCTATCGTAGCTACGAGACTGGCGCCATAGACCTCGTGTGACATTGTGGGCGCCCTGCAGGGGTCGAAACCGCCGTTGGTTCGAGGAATATAATCGGCGAAGGTAAGGTAAGGTAAACGTCTCCACACACACAAGGTGGTGGGGCAAGGGGGGGCGATCCTCGCATCTCCACGCCCGGACACGGGCAGGAGCCCCACGGCATTCAAAGTGCAAGCACCGGCCCGGTGCCGTGGGTGAGCAACCTGCACCCCACTCCCTCCCTCCCATGTGGGACACAAGTGTCACAAGACACAACCACAACATCACACAACCCCCACAGCGTGGACGACTACGTGTTCAGAAACACCAAGCAGCGAGGCGAGGGTGAAGGGGTAAGGGGCTGTGAGGGGCAGAATTTCATCCGGCTTATCTGTGACTACTCCATCTAGCCTGGGGGGTCGGAGGAGGGGGGGGCAGAAGGGGTAAGATATGGGTGAGGCCAGCTACAAGTCGGACACCCTCCCGTCGTCGGAATACTCCTCGGAGCGGTCGGTGTCCTCGTCGTCGTCCTCGGTCTGCATCGCCTCGCCGGCCGTGAACCTGAACACGGCGTCGGCCGGCGCCGAGGCGCCGGCGGCCGTCATCAGGTGCATGACCATGATAATCGGCGAGTTTTGCTGGTAGAGTTATTCTGCGGGGGCTCTGCGAGCTCCACACCACCCGTGTGATGACATATACATTCTTCAACGCGAGTGGCTCAACTATATTTATTTGGCGACGCGCGTCAATACAAGCCGTCAACGCGTGACGGCATCGCCACTGGCGGGCAGCGGCGGCGAGTGCGCGCCGCGGGGGGTCACAAAAGTTAACGCCTCTCTGGGCTCTGGCAGCGTGTAAGTAGCGGGTCGTGACGCCTACGCCCGCCCCCGCAAATCGGGGGTTTAGTTTGACCCAGCACCACGGGAGTACCTGTACGAGCCTTTTTGAGCCAGTAGGCCGCAGGGGCCCAGCGGAGGGCGCCCACGTGCCTCAGTCACGAACAGGCGCGAGAAAGGCCCATTTTGGGGGCCTTGTGGGGCGGGGGTGGGGGTCACTAGAACCGGGGGGGCCTTCGTGTAAGGTAGCTGCCTGGGTTTCATCCGCTCGCCCATTGACTCATCTGTGTATTGGCGGCTTCAAATCAACGTTTAGAGGAGCGAGGTCGGTTTCGCCCCGGGGGGCCAACAAAGAGCGACACCAGTCCACGCGGCCCGGTGCCGTTCGGGCGCCGCTCATCGCTTCGCAGCGTCCCAGGCTCTACAAACATCTCCGTCGCGAGCTGCGCACGCCCCGCGGGTCCGTGTGACTGTAGCTGTATCTCCCAAACATCTCCCGCAGCTCAAAGCGATCTCGGCCTAATCTCCACGGCTCGAGATTGCACGAGATAAAAACGGCGCTCTCGAGGTGGGGCGCCAAGACCTGGATAGCGGAGCGCGTAGAACGCGCGCTGCCGATGTGCACAGAGCCCGGGATGGCCAGCATCCGCCCTCGTGATCGCGAACGGCGCCGGTCGGCGCGTGCGGCTCTGGCAGCCGCCCGGCCGCGTCGGAGCTGCAGAGAGCGGCCCGCGGCTCGGTGCCGTTCGGGCGCCGCTCATCGCTTCGCAGCGAGCCCGGGCTCTACAGACATCTCCGTCGCGAGCTGCGCACGCCCCGCGGGTCCGTGTGACTGTAGCTGTATCTCCCAAACATCTCCCGCAGCTCAAAGCGATCTCGGCCTAATCTCCACGGCTCGAGATTGCACGAGATAAAAACGGCGCTCTCGAGGTGGGGCGCCAAGACCTGGATAGCGGAGCGCGTAGAACGCGCGCTGCCGATGTGCACAGAGCCCGGGATGGCCAGCATCCGCCCTCGTGATCGCGAACGGCGCCGGTCGGCGCGTGCGGCTCTGCGTCAACCAGTACGGAGCCCGAAATGCGTCAAAAAGTAAAAAAACAGCTTTCCGCGCCTCTTCACTGCTCACCGCCGCGCAGGCGTGTTCCGGGGGCCCAGTGGAGCATTTCATCCAGTGGCGTCACCGGCTCTAGAGAAATTTATAATTTCTCAGTGGGGTTTTGACATAGTGTCTCCAGTGGCCAGAATTTCCCAGATCTCGCGCAGATTCCAGAACGGTGCGCGCACATATGTGTGCGGCATGTGCGCGCTTCACCACACACATTGTCATTGAGCCGCTTCATTGGTTGAGATTCATTCGATTAAACGTACTCCGCTGTGCGTTTTAAGCACATATACAGCTAGAGCTCGTAACTCCCTCCGCGCAGGCGCCCCCTCCACGACAACTCCACATGTTACAGCTCCACAACTCTGTCCAGCTCTCACCTCGACGCCATGCAGCATGCTTTGAGGACTGTCCACGAATAGGCCGCGTCTCCCCGCCCCACGGGCGTGCGCAACGGAGTGCAGCGCTGGAGGCTGCCACGCGGCGCTAGGGAGGTGGGCGTGCGTTGGCGGGAGCCATAGGTGCCACGCCCCCCTCCCCCCTCCCCAACAGTGCCGGTTGCCGTTGTGCGAGGCTGCGCACCGCGCGGCGCGGCTCGACGGTGCCGGCTCAGGCTCGGCAGTGATCGAGGTCGATCATGTCGATCATCATTTTGTGAGACGCGTAGAGCTTTTTGTACTCCGGCGTGCCCACTGCGTCGCGAGGCAGGCACGAGGGGGAGGGGGTTCAGCCGGGCGGAAAAGGGGCGGCGGTGGGCGGGGGCGCAGCCGGGCGCGCCTTCCAGCCACTGCACGTCTGCGGCATCGTCGCCCGCGTGCAGGGCCAGCATCTTGCCGAGCTCGGGCGAGCAGTGGAAATGCATCGCCACCGTCTCCATCCACGCGTTGTCCGTGTTGCGCGGGTCGTCGACGTAGCCGCGGTACACCTCGTGCCCGTTTGCCTCGGTGAAGAGCCGGCCGGCGAGGTCCTCGAAGCGCTCGCGCTCGCTCTCGGGCACGTTGCCCGCCTTTGGGGGGGGGGGGGGGGGGGCTGGCGGGGCTGGGAAGGGGGAGAGGGCGAGGCGGCCGGGGAGGCGGCCGGGGAGGAGGGGAAGGGGGGAGGGAGGGATAGGAGGAGGGGGGCGGGCTGCGCGCCTCCTCTTCAAACTCGCGCCGCAGCGTCATCGAGACGAGCTCACCGGCATCCACCATCCCGCCCGGGATGGCCCACTCGCCCGTGTCCCTCCGCTTGATGACGTACGCATATACTCACATAAAGTGTGACCTATAGATAAGAGATC